TAAGAGTTTTATGGCACTTGCAACACAATAAGGTCATATAAGTGTCGAAGATTAAGAGGTTTTACCTACAGACACTCACAACCTCAATAAGTTGTCAACAAAAACCAGCTCTCAAAGTATAGTGCAAGTTGCTTGAACTTGTAGCTTAAAACGCAAAAGATACATTTCACCACCAACAACAGTTCCAAAACTGTGACCTTTTTTCGTGTTTTTTTTTACACCCAGCTTCAAATTCAACCCCAGCAATATCCTCACAGCACACATCTTTGCCATAAATAACTTCTTGTGCTACGGAACTGACAAGCATGAACTTCAAATAGGTAAAAAAAAAAAAGGTGTACGTACATGATTTAAAATGGAACAAAAGACAAACGGTAGAGAAGGCAAACATGCTAAACGACTCAACAGCGAACAGATCATTGACCCTTCCTTGTACTCTAGCAATCGGCGTTTTCTGGTGCGCAGAAGTTAAATCATCCACATGTGCCATAATCACAGGTCATAAAATGTAGACCGGTAATTTAAAAAAAAAACCATTATCATCGGAAGTGGTTTGTTTATTATTGAAGATGGCAAAGCTGTGTAGGCCTACTTTCTAACAAATTCATCTGAAGCCTGCATGATCCTCAATACAATGATCTCTTAAAGTATTCTTTACATGTGGAAAATGATGTGTAAAAGAACCCATTTTCGTTTTAATCCTAGGCCTACTCATCAAAAAACAAGTCCAACATCTATACACATATTTCAGACTACTACAAGAGTAAAGACACTGAAACATTATTGTGTCATTAAACCTAAACTTTGGGGACCTGAAAAAAGAAGTCTAGACCATTCAATAAGAAAACGGTTGAGCTTACAAGGCACAGGAAGAACAACTTCACCCCCAAGGCAAAGCTACAGTTCTGACAAAATCATCGTTGTTGTTTTTTTTGCTTTGGTTCTATTGGTTTGTTACACAAGTCTTGCCCATATCCATTCTTGTGTCAGCAGGCAGACAAAGAAATATACTGTGGCAGTTATCAAACTTACAAAAAGCTTTTGTAACGCCAATGAGTTTTTTTTTAACTTTTTCTCAAAATCACTCAGTAACCATAGCAGAATAAATGGCAGTCAACTCAGATCAAGCCATCACATCAATGATTATCGATGTTCCACAATGAAAAAATGGAACCCACTTCAAACCCAACTTTAAGAAAACAGAAAACAGTTGTCACATAAAAATATTTATATTGAAAGTACAGTCAGCTGAGTTGACATGGAAATTGACAAAACAAGAGTCCCCAAGTTCACAAAGTTCTCAGAGATGTGAATAAAGCAGTCTTATTTCAAGGCTTTGGGTTAAAATGAATTATTAACAACAGAAAAAATACAACTTTAAAATCTAACAATTAATATGGCATCCGTTCGTCAAATCTACGGACCTACCCTTAAGTTATAGGCAGTGATTATAACACCGCATTATTCAACTACCTGACTACCAGCTCACAGTTAGGAGCAGACGTGCAAAAACTCAAGAATTCATTGAAGGAAAATAGGTGTAGATAAAAAATAATACAAAATGCACCTCTACATTTTTTCCACACAAAAAAACCAGCTTCCTTGGACAAAAACAAGAAGTAGAATCTAGATCTATGTAGATATCTAGATCTAAATCTAGCCTCAAAACTTTTCTCAACAGAAAAATCTAACATTAAACAAAGACCATGTTACTGCTATCACCAATATTGAAAAAAAAAAAAAGGAACAAACAACATGATTTTATAACATTTGTACCTAGATTTTTCTCGACTGTAGGTCTTGATCTATGAGTCATCAAATATGTAAAATTGACTTAGAGATATCTACAGATCTAGATCTAGTTGGTTAGGCCCTACTTAAATCATCTTCAGCCTGATCTAGATCTAGATTTTTCAAAAATAACTAATTTGGAGGGTTAGGTACCTAACCATAACTTTTATCACCAGAATCTAGGTCCTAGGGCGGCAATTGTTTACTTTTTCGCGTTTAATTCCGGTACTATTTTTTTTATATATAGAGCACAGGCCCTATCGACAATCTACGTTTGTTAGGTTCTTTCAAGTTGCCAAGCTGGCAAGTGTCATCTCTCGCACCTGAAGAAAGAGTCGATGGTTGGGCACGGTCCTGTGAACGTAATCGGCGTTAAAGGAGCATTCGGACTGGATCTTTTTTTTAAGGCTCTCACTTGTCCTTCAGTTACTTGATATGTTTTTACTGGGCACAGAGTCAAAATTACGTTGCTGAAGGTGATGTAACCTGAAAAACTCTGAAGTCTAGACAGGCAAAGCTTCGTAAGAGACATTTGTGCACAGTATCTCACTGACCACCCACTGCAACTTGGTGGCCCCAACAATAGTGTAGAAATTGATGAATCCTTGAGGATATATGCACAGAATATACAACAGGGGTACATATCGCGAAAGTCACTGGATATTTGAAATCATAGAAAGTAGAATTGGATGGGGCGCCTGCAGAAGTTCAAGACTTAGTGGAAGGAGCAGAAGGCTATGGAATCAACCATTGCTTGGAACCATCAGCATCTACAAACTTCGAGATGTGCTTCTTCAGGGGACGGAGCGCTTATGGGGATGCCCCTTGTGCAGTGATATCGGTGTAAACAAGAAAGGGAAAGTGACAACTAACCTCACACCCCGGAATCAAACCCCAGAGACAGAGTAAACAATTGCCTCTTGGGCTAGGTCGGACTTTAGTGTTATCCCGAGGTAGAATCCAGAGTTTACGTTAGCTGTAACCTTTGAAAACTAAACCCACCAAAAATGAGGGAAAAAAACATTAATAAACTGAAAACTCAGCCAAGATCTAGATCTAGATCTAGATCTAGTTGACCTGTACAGCAAGTAAGCTCTCGAACTGTTCAACAAAGTCTTCCTGAATGTATCTCAAACTTATTTTTTACATTAATTTTAGGTAATTTTAAACCAACTCAGTGAGCAGACCCCCTCATATTAGCCTAGAATCGCATTTTTTTTACTCATGCATCCGTCTCAGGTAGATTTCTTGATCTAGATCTAATCTTGATTCTAGAATCTAGAAATCTGTACATCTAGATCCTACATGTTTTATATACTGTTTTTAGTACTTTGCATGCTGAGCACGAATAAGGCCTTCATTTTTGCAGCAAGGTAGTTATTGAGTTATTGATGTTTGAAAACAACTATATTACAGAAGGACCAGTGGCGTAGTAATATTTTTGTTTTTAACAACATGGGGGGGGGGGGGGGGTTACAGGGGGGCATGCCCCTTGTCTCCTGACCTAAAAAGAATCTGGGGGGTTTCACAATGACTTGATATTTTGGTAATTAGGATTGACAATCTACTTGAAAACAATTGATTTGCAAGGTTTTTTTTGTGGCCATATACTTGTCTTCTGCAGCAAAAAGTAAGGTAGGTCAGCCCTTGCTAGCCCTTAAATCAGTGCATCTTTGTGTGGGTGTATAGATCTAGATCTTAAAAGTAAAAATTTACCCAGAAATCTAGATCTATATTGAGACATCTAGATAGAGTCTAGACTCTAGGTCTAGTCTATAAGTAGGTTAATATTAGGCAGCAATTGCCTCACCGTGCCTGGAGGTTGAAGACGCGCATTTCTTACTTTTCTCACATAAAGACAAGGCTTAGAATCTAGATCTAGATTCTAGATCAAGATCTATACTCTCTAGGCCTAGATCTATCTAGAATCTAGATTCTAGATCTAGATCTAGATTGGGGCTCTTATTAAGGTGTTGGCCTCTCATTCAAAAGGTCCCAGGTTCGAATCCGGGTAGCAACCAAAAAATTTTCTTCTCTAAATTTGTCTCCTTTCACCTCATTTCCTGCTCTCTAGCAATGTTCTGTCGTCTGCTTTCGTCTCCTCTTTCTGCCCTCACCCCCTCACCTCCTTTGCCCCTTCCTCTCGGCTCCTGATTTTTGCAGCCTTTCTACTGCTTCTCCTTCGCTTCTTCTTACTGCTGTCTTTCAGCCACACCCCTGATCTTCTGATAGGAAAGATCTACACCTGACCTAACCTTCTCGAACAAGGGCGAAAAATCTCGGAGGGCCCGTGTGCAAGTTGCGCACGTTAAAGATCCCTTGGTGGTCTAAAATCGATAAGAGTAGGCTTCGGCCGCCACCCAGACAAAATTCAAAATTTCCTACCAACTAAAAATATTAGGTTGTGTGTCCCGCGCGCTCATATGACCTTATATGCAGTTGCGAGCGCCGTAAAACACTTTACAAAAACAAACAAACAAGACCTAGAATCTAGATTTCTAGATTCTAGATCTAGAAATCTAGAATCTAGATCTAGATTATAGATATCTACATAGGACATGACATGAGCCTAAGACATTTAAAATCTAGACCAGGCCCCCTAGATCCAAAAGGCCGACATAGCCTACGATGTGGGGCATAGCAATTTAGATCTTATACTTTAGCACGTTAAATTCTTCAATTGAGGACTCCCGAAACGAGCGACCACTATAAGATCTGGATCAAAATTCTATGTCATCAAGATTATACTCAATGGCTTCCAAAATCATGATGGAAGACTGAAAACCACTGTTATACGATCTGTTCATGACAAAATTACGGTAGTTTGCACATTTTTAGGCCCAGTTCAAAGTTTTGAAGGTCTGAGTCGGGTATTAGACTCTAGATTAGTAGACTTTGCCAGACTTTGGGAATTTAACGTGCTAAAGTATAAGATCACCGCAATTTAAAGTCCAAAGCGGAAAACAAGAATTAAAACAAATAAAGCATCAACACAGTACAGATTAGACAGACGAGACGAACGCAAGGTCTAAATCTGTATCTAGGATCTAATATCTAGATTTCAGGCTTAGTCTATAGAGAAATGATGGTCCTCACAACACTGTAACAGTGGGCCTAGACTAGAAATCTAGATCTAGAAATCTAGACTCTAGATCTACAGTATGAAAACGAAGAAGAGATCTCTCTAGATCTATAACTTTCGAACTCACCTCTGGAAATGGTCGATAACAGTCTCCTCTGTGCAATTCTCAGGCAAATTTCGCACTATCAAATATCTTGTTTCCCGTACCATCGCTCCAACAAACTACATGGTTTCCATAGGCTAAAACTCCATGCTGACCAAAAATAATACCGGCTGTAACTTCCACAAAAGATGAGTATGCAATACACCTCGTCCCAATAACGTGGTATTCACTCTTCAGAATCGGACGTGTAAGAAAAGCCTAGCGCAGCCTGCTCGGCTGCGAAAACACGCTTCAAACATTTGGGACTTGCGCGTGACGTCAGGCCAACCGCTACTCTCTTTACATCGGGAAACCCGCTTTGCGAGGCAGGATTGAACCAACGAGGGAGGCGGAAAGGGACCGGGCGAACCTGGACAACCCTCGCCACCGAGCAACTTTCCACCAGTCGAGACCAGTCTATAGTCTGTTCTGTGCAAAGTAATGAAGCTTCGGCTCTCCACTCGCCCCATGAACCAAAGTATTTTTTTTTTTTTCGTTTTAGTTGGAGAAACAGTGAAGGCAAGCCGAGGAGGGCGGCTGGCTCGAGGGAAAGAAATTTATGGCGTGTTGGCTCAAGCCCAGAAAAAAAGGAAAGGAAAAAATGGCGTTGCACAATATCCCATACTGTGTAGGCTACCGCCAAGTTGCTGTAAGCTGTTGGGCTATATTCAGTTGAACAAGCGTTTCGTTTTCGGCATGTTTCAGAACAGTGGTGTTTCTTCTTCTCGGCGAATCAGCGAAGCTGTCCAGGACGTTTCGTTGCCTTGTATTGTTGATGCATTTTTGAAAGTCTCATTTTAGAGACCTTTTGAAAGCTGAAAGGGGTTTATCGTTAGATAGCATTGTCTCATTTCAGAGGCGTTGTGGGAGCTGGCCGGGTTTCATTTCAGCCTGATTACAGCGACATTTTGACAAAAGTGTGTCGTGTTAAAAATACAATGAATGCTAAATATAAATGTCGCTCGATAAAAAGCACAAGGGTTGGGGTCGCCATCTTTGACTTTGAGACAAATAATGCAAGTGTGTTCGACCACTTAATTGCTCTGTGACTCTGTGGCCCTCGTAATTACAAATTTGAGTACATGTATGACCGACACATGTGTATACATGTAGTAGGCTTCAATTTTATTTATTTTTTGGGGGGTGGAGGGTTTGTTGCATTGTTGATTTTTAAAGATAATTATCCATTAATTTCCTTCTCACGGAAGAGGATTGGTCATTTTCGGTTGATCGGTAATTAGATGAGTGTTTAGTGGACATTTGGTAAACGCAAAAGTAAACTAGAAACTTTTCAACACTTGTTTGTAAAAAAAAAAAGGGGGGGGGGTTGGAATTGGGAGTCCCAGTAGAGAGGGGTGTTAAGGAGAATTCCTTTTGGACCAGTGACTACAGAAACCTTTTGGACCAGTAAAAGATGGGGTCCCTTTTTGACCAGTTGTCTTCACCGATTCCTTGCTTTAATTTTGGAATTGATTTTTTCGCGCTGCATAAATGTTTGTTTCCCAGTTTCTCAAATTAAGTTAAATGTCTTTGAAGCTCACATGAAAGCATGCATTGTGTTGTGTAACACTCCCTACCCCACCCCTTTTCTTGTGACAGTTCACAAACCAAGTCTACAAACACAGCATAGGCCTACATGTACAATGTAAGCATGACGAACCATTCCCAAAGTCAGGTGTGTCGGTAGGACTGAAACCCTTTTTTCACATCATGTATTGACTATCTTATTCGATGTCACTAAGAACTATAATCGCTCCTTAGCCTGATTGCTACCTGGCGAAATACCAGTTCAACTGGTCTAAAAGTGATCAAATATTAATACAATATTACGTAAATTGGTCCTAAAGGAACGCACCCATTTTCTGGTGACCAGCAAGAAACTCTAAAAGTGAACTAGGAACTTTCCACTTTTTGAAAGGGGACGATTTGAAGCGGTGGGGGGGGGGGGGTCCCTTTATTGTAAAAAAAAAAAAACAACTAAAGAGAGCTCGGCCATGGCCTTCATTTTTCTGTCTGTTTGAGAGCCTTGGACTAAACGTGTGATGATGAGTCCTCGGGCACTGACATTGTCGTCTTTGACCTCGAGTGTTGTTTGTTCTCTTTTTGTCCAAACTGAAAAGACAATTAGATCTATGCTTTAACTTTAATGTGTGCTCCTCTACGGCTGCGAAACTTGGAAGACAACGAAAACAGTATTGAATAAAGTCCAGACTTTCATCAACAGATGTATGAGGAGTATTCTAAGAATTAAGTGGCAGGATAGAATAAGAAATGAAGAGCTGTGGGAAAGGACAGGACAAAAGGAAATAGAAGTAGAAATAGGACTAAGAAAGTGGCGATGGATGGGACACACTTTAAGAAAGCCCAGCGGAAACATCACTAGACAGTCACTGCAGTGGAACCCACAAGGAGCACGAGGCAGGGGTAGGCCACGGGAAACATGGAGGAGATGCGTGGAAAGGAACATAAGAGAAATGAAGCTCACTTGGAACGAGCTTGGAAGGATGGCTCAGGACAGAGATAAATGGAAGGAGCTTGTATGGCCTATACCCTGCCAGGGGTGAAAGGCATTGATGATGGTGATGATTGAGAGCCTTGGACTAAACGTGTGATGATGAGTCCTCGTGCACTGACATTGTTGTCTTTGACCTCGAGTGTTGTTTGTTCTCTTTTTGTCCAAACTGAAAAGATAATTAGATCTATGCTTTAACTTTAATTTTTTTATCTACCAACCTAGATTAGGAAATCAAAACCTGGCTCGCCATTAAAACGACAACAAATCTACTGCTAGTTTGTGTGTGTGTGTGTGTGTGTGTGTGTGTGTGTGTGTGTGTGTGTATGTATGTGTGTCTGCATATGTGTGTGTGAGTACATATATGTGTGTGGTGGGGGAGGGGGTGGGGGTTGGTCATGATCAAAAACGAGTTTAACATTAACAGCTCTATTGAGATGTGTGTTGTGTGAGTGTTTAACGTTTAACTGTACTGTTTATTTATTACCCCCACCCCACCCATCCTAAAAGCCACCCCTACCCCCCCCCCACCCATCCTAAAAGCCACCCCTAACCCCCCCAATTATTGAAAACGGGAAATGAAATGGAGGCGTTATCCAAGTTGAATGTTAAGTGTTAAATGATATACGGTACATGCAAAGTGTTATTAAAAGTTAAAGACGTAACGAACCAAAATTTCTCCTGAGATAAGGAGTGTGTTAATAAACGCTATTTCAGCACAGTACATTGTAGTTGTAGGCATCTGACCTCTGTGGTTTAGCGATTAGGTACTAAGCCGCCGCGCGCAGACGACCTGGATCGAATCTCAAGTGGGGAGAATAATTCTTATCGAGTATCCCTGTCTTCTGCTGGGACGTTGTATTCATCTCTGGCCGGGCAGGCCCTGAGGAACAATCTGGGTCCAAGTCCGCCCCCTCCTAGATTATCTAAATTGTGTCCATGGGGGCGTCAAACACTCACATCAAGAGCAAAAAGTCAAAAATATAGTAAAAGGTCTTCCATTTTTATACGTCAGCCTGCGATAACACACAGCCATGTGGGTGTACATATTAGTTTAACACCTCTCCCCCTCCCCACACACACATACAAATACACATTTCTGTCACATAAAAACCAAGGCCTTCTCACTCTCAACTCGTAGGTAGGGGCTCTCGTGGCCTGGAGGTCAAGATGCTTGCCTCTCATTCAAAGTCAAAGGTCCCGGGTAGCGACCGAACATTTTTCTTCTCTAAAATTGTCCTCTTTCGCCTCATTTCCTGCTCTCTAGCAATGTTCTGTAGTCTGCTTTCGTCTCCGCTTTCTGCCCCCACCCCCTCATCTCCTTTGCCCCCTCCTCTGGGCCCCTGACTCTTTTTGCAGCCTTTCTACTTCAACTCCTTGGCCCCTTCTTACTGTTGTCTTCCTGCCACTCCCCTGATCTTCTGGTAGGAAAGATCTACACCTAGCCTTCTCCGACAAAGGTGAAAAATCTCGGAGGTGCCGTGGGCAAGTTGCGCTCGTTAAGGATCCATTGGTGGTCTAAAATCGATAAGAGTAGGTTAAGATGTTTGCCTCTCATTCAAAGGTCCCGGGTTCGAATCAGGGTAACGACCGAAAAATTTTCTTCTCTTAAATTGTTCCCTTTCGCCTCTTTTCTTGCTCTCTTAGGTACTAAGCCGCCGGGCCACCCGGGCAAAATTCAAAATTCCTTACCGACTGAAAAATGTTTAATGTGTCCGGCGCGCTCATAATGACCGTTTATGCTGTTGCGAGCGCCGTTAAACATTTACCCAAAACCCAACTCGTAGGCTTACAGTTGAACCGGGGGACAGGGAAACGAACATGGGTGTCCCCCATTGGCCTCCGTACTATTGTGTGTTGTTATGACGTAGACAAACAAACGTGTCCCCCATTGGCACCTATGCTATTGTGTGCTGTGACGTAGACAAACATAGCCTAGGTGTCCCCCATTGCGCCCCCCCCCCCCCCCATACTACTATTGCGTGTTGTGACGTAGACAAAGGTGTTGGCGCTCATATGACCTTAAGCATTTGCGAGCGCCGTAAAAACAAAACAAAGGTGTCCCCCATTGCCCCCCATACTAATACTATTGCGTGTTGTGACGTAGACAAACATGGGGGGCTTCGTTTTGAGACAGGTCAGTTTTACTTTCTACAGTTATCATTTAACCCAACGAGTAGGCCTACTATTGTTAAGGCGCCTCGCCGCAATGCATAGCCTGAGAGCTTGCGGTGCATTGCTTGGTGGATTTTCTTACCCCCCCCCCCCCCCTTCCCACTGTTTTGGGGTACTTTCATTTCTATTTTGGATATATTTATGTGTGTGTTTTTACGCCCCATTCAACACAATTTAGATCATCCAGGAGGTGGGCTTCCAGCTCAACTTGCCAGGGCCAACCTGTAGGCCTACTGAGAAGGATACATCTTCGCAGAAAGATCGAGATACTCGAAAAAAAGTTTCTCCCTACTAGGGCCACTAATGTTAGATCTATTCTTAGAATTTAAAAAATTATGTCTTCTTCACCTGAAATTTGAAAAGGCCAACAACAACATGCATAATGTACTATGACATTTAAAAAAAACGTGTTTCTGATTTGTATTATCTTTCTATATTATATTTGTGAAAGTTCGTCACTTTGGCAGCCTGAAACTTCCGGACCGCTTAACTTTGGAATTTAAAAAAAATAATAACGGTGGTCCAGAATCATTTAAAGGGTTCACAGTTTTATTGAGTAGACTGAAGTCGCTGTAGATCTAGTTTAATTTTCAGTTTTTTCAATAGTTTCGTTTAGATCTAATCCTGGGAAAGTCTGTCTTCTTCTTAAACGCCATAGTGAACAAGTGACGCTTCCGTTCACAAGCTGTGCGCACTGTTTCCACGTTGACTTTAAGTCCGTTCTTCGAACGTGTACTCAGCTAG